GAATTCAGCTCTCAAAGCAGAAAAACCATTTGGTATGATGATGATGCCTGGTAACTCATCAGCCATAAATTCCATTTGGCCCTCCCTTGAGCCAGGGAGATAGACTAAGTAACCTTTTAGGATTTCTTCCAGCACTGAGGCTTTCTGTCTATGGTTCTGTTACTTATTAGGCATGGTTAAGAGGTCACGGATCAGAAAAAAAACTTTACTTAGTCTCCCATTCCACTTCAAAGGTTCCATTTATAATCGTGTCACAATTTTTTTTCCCCTTTCCTATATACTTGGTGTAAATACCAGCCTTTTCTACAAATGATTTTAAATTTTCTGAGAAATGACTTAATTGCAAAATTTGAAATGACTGGGACCGTAAATATAGTGGATAGGGAGGACACTTTTAATGAGAGGTTTGAGTAAGATATATTTTACAAAGGAGTAGACAGAATTTTATTTAGTATATAGCTAACATTATACCTTAGGTGATAAGATGTGGTCAAGCTAAAGTTATAACCTGCCTGGTTTCATAAATAATCACTGTACATACAGTAGCTATATGCAAACATCTGGTTTAAAAGAGAATGAAAAAGGCGTCATTTTAAAATTCTTATTTGTCGTGTAGATTTCAAAGTCTGGTAAATTATTTTTTTCCATAGTTAAAAGGTAAATTGTTATTACAAACCCCTCTTTAATAAGTCTCAAAAATGTGCTTGGCAAATAGCAGGTGCTCAATAAATATTTAATGAACAAATAAAATAATGAATTTGTTTTACTGTGCTGATAGGAAAACAGGGTCTGATGGGACCCAATTGTGACGTACAGAATTTATCTTTACATGTTAATTAACACAAATCCTTGCTGAGTTACCTGATGAGGTTTGAATTACATATTATTAAACAGGACTAAACATTTCCAGCATCTATATATTTTAGCTGTTTATGTAAAGTGCCAAGTTGCTACAATAAATAGTAATGGGAAAATTATAGCCAGAAATCCACAAGTTACTGTTTTGAAGGAATTTAACCTATCATACTACTCTGAGACAGTAAATACTTATTTTTTTGGCCATGAGGGAAGGCAGGCCAATTTAAGATTTTTTAAATCTACAATATAGATGCTCAAAAATAATAAGTGTAACCAGGACAATTGTTTCAGTATCACAACTGTCTTTTAGTGCTTTTATAATGGATGAATGTTCAAAGGTGTAGTCATCTAATTGGAAGCCAGAGAAAGGAACTTTCAGAGATTTTCTCTAAGTAATGAAAATCCCTCAGAAATTTCAAGAATTCTCTCTGCTTTAAAATAGACCTGTTCCCCCATTCCCTAAGAAAAGGAAACTTGAACCATACCAATAGGTAGACAGACAAGTGAATATAAACTAGTCATGCTGAAGAAAGTAGAATCTGGTTCAGAAAACTAACTTTACTTACTTGGTTTAGTAATACCTGGGCCTCAAATTTAATGTTTTTAATAATACGATTAAAAAGGTGTGCCTTTTTAATTTGGGGAGTAGCTAGGATGTGAGCAGTAAGTTTTGTACAGTCTGGCAATGGTCAGTTTCCAAAAAGATGGGTTCCCTAGGCCTTGAGGACTTCCTTTTTGTTTACTAACGCATTTACCCAGCAAAGAAGGTGTAAGGAATTGGCAAGGAGACAAGTCTTGACCTTAAAAATTCAGAACTGTAGGACTCACAGGTGTAGATGGAAATATAACCAAAACAGGTCTTGGCAACATCTAGGAACCTAGATACAAGGTAAAGTCACTGCTTATTAGACATTCTAACATTATCATTATAATACAAAAGAAAGGGCTAGCCTCTTGACCTGGAAAAATGCTAACAGATCTCTATACAAGTGTGCACCTCTTTGTTGAAAGGCATGTAATTTAGTCCAATCTTTTTCTTTAGGTTGGTCACATTGGGGAAATAAAGGAACTGAGTAGACTCTTTAGAGATTGCTTTATGATAAAATTTAGTTGTTTAAAAAATTTAATTAACTGCTGGTCTAGCCTCTTCATTCCTATCTTCTCTTTTGATAGAATGTAACCTGTACATTACTGCTAATTATTTTTCAAATAGAACTCGTTTCATTATCCTGCTCCAAGTTTTTAACATTTCTCCATTGCCTACCAAAATTAAATACAAACTACAGCATGGAATTAAATAATTTCAACAAAAATAGCTCTAACCTATCTTTCCCAATTTACTTCCTTGTACTTATCCTATATAGACAGCCACAAGCTTAGTTCTCAAATTATTAGGCAACGGTAGATTAGTAGCAGTTACTGCAACTAAATTATAGGAAAAGAGAAATCACCAGCTCCCCACGCCGATTCTAACAGAAAGGCTGAGAAGTGAACACTGCTCAAGTACTTTTCCAAAACACTTACTTGATCTGTTGCGATCTTGTTTAAAACCATTACAGTGAGCTATTTATAAATCTAGGATCCTTGGACCAGAAGGTGGCTAGAATTAGTGGTTCCATGAACTTGGATTAGGGAACTTTTCAATAACCTCTAGCTGAAATTTAACATCTTCAATAAGTATAGGCAATAATCCTCAGTAATATTACTAGTGTCTTTGTCACCAATAGGAATATACTTCCAAATCATATTAAAGTTGTTACAGGTGTCTCAAAATAAAATTTATACTCATCACTATTTTGAAGTTACATAATTAGACCTGCTACCATAAACGCGGCTGAGCGCAGAGGAATTGATGCTTTTGAACTGTGATGTTGGAGAAGACTCCTGAGAGTCCCTTGGACAGCAAGGAGATCCAACCAGTCAATCCTTAAGGAAAATCAATCCTGAATATTCATTGGAAGGACTGATGCTGAAGCTCCAATATTTTGGACACCTGATGGGAAGAGCTGACTCATTAGAAAAGACCCTGATGCTGCGAAAGATTGAAAGCAGGAGAAGGGGATGACAGAGGATGAGATGGTTGGATGGCATCACCACATCAATGGACATGAGTCTGAGTAAGATCTGGGAGTTGCTGATGGACAGGGAGGCCTGGCATGCTACTGTCCATGGGGTTGCAAAGAGTGAAACATGACTGAGCGACTGAACAACAGACCTGCTGCCTGATGTTATTTAATGTATAAGGAATCGCATATGTAACTACATCACACATGTTTTTATATTTTTACAACTTTCAATAAAAATAACTTCATTTGTTTCCATGTATTTTACACATCTTTATTATTTATACATATTAATTGCTTGTAGAATATAACCTAAACACTTTAGCATGGAATTCAGTGCTCTTCATTATCTGTTCACACCCACTTTTTCATTTTCATCTCGAGTTCCACCCCTACTTTTCATACTAAATTCTAATCACACCAGACAATGGTGACTGACTCTTATCTGGTGGCTGATAAGTTTTCAAATTAACCCTAGTTAAAACACACTAGCCCTTCAATGGCTTGGGTTTTGCCTTACACAGACATTCTCTGTCTGCCAAAAGAATTCTTTTAAAGGTTTGTTTTTCCTAATACTATGAGGTCCTAATAGGGCTGAGTCTTAAATCTTTCTCATTCCTTACTTAAATGATTGATGAAATGGATTATAAAAGACAAATTCTAAACTGGCAAGGCACTGTGTATTGTACTAATCTCTAGGGGTCTGAAGTTTGCTCTTGAATCTCATAAATTAGCCTAACTTTGTTCTTTTGGGGGAAAGAAATGAGGATGGCCTGGAGCTGGAAGACTGGATCCCCAGATGATAAACCTTGGATGGAAGGGAAAAGGAAAGAGACCAGTAACTGAGGTAGACCTCATTAAGACTGAAGGATGGAACTGTGCCAAAGGGAAAGGCAGGAGTGACTCCTCCTCCCATTTTCCAGAGCCATTACTCAAAACTTCATTACTCTGACCAAGCTCCCATTCCATCTCCAACCCTTTCTCATCAAATGACTCCCATCTTAATGTTACAGAGCCACTTTGATCAGCCTTCTGCCCTCCCCTGCTTCTCATTGCTTTCCTTTGTTCTAGTTGAGTGGTTTTTAACCCACAGCATTAGTCATCGCAGAAGTTAAAAAAAAAAAAACCCGATACCTGGGTTTAACTGGCCTCAGGTGGAGCAACTGTATTGGTTTTATATTTAAAAAGCTTCCCAGGTGACTCTAATGTGCATACAAGATTGAAAACCACGAGTCTTCTTGGTTTTGTAAGTTAACTACTCGCACCAATAAATCGTCTTCTCGGTTCTCTTTTATGCGTAAGTCTCCCATCTTGAACACATTCTTGTGGCCCATACGCTTGCCCCTAACTACTTTACAACGATGTTTTTTAAAGGGTAGCCTACACTCGCATGGTTTTCACCAGCTATATTCTTTGATTAACTTTTTACTCTTTCGGCCAGTACTAGCACATGCTTTTGTACTCTCTGCTTCTATCTATTTCTTTGACCACCTACTGCTCACTAGCCTTTTAACAAAAATTAAGAGTGACTCAAAGGTCACCTTGGAAGGGGTTCCTTATGTCTTTCCACACAATCACGCTCAGAGTATCCTGTACGTTTTTTCTCCCTATTTTAAATTTTACTTTACTATCACTGCGAATTATCTCGTCTCTGACAGAGCGCTTCAGAAAGCTGAAACTATTTCATTTGCTTCTGACTTTCTGGAGTCCAACGCACAGAAACCATTCAGTGAAAAGTCTGAGGGATGAATGAAAAGTAGAACTAGGAAACGGAGGTCGGAGGCGGGGAAATACAAGGCGTGTGTGTGTGGAAACCAGGAGAGGGGGCTAACAGGAGTGTCGTTGAGAATTCTTGCCGGAATTGGAAATGGGGCACAGGTACACTAGATCTCCGTGGACCGCAAAGCGGTCCCCTGCCCGGACCCACAGACCAACAAACCAGAGTAGGGAGCAGGCTTCTTACCTGCTTCGGGCCTCACCACCCCTACCAGCCTCCAAGCAGCTCTGTACTGGCCGGAAAAGCAGCGCTATAGTCGCAAATCCAGAGTTTTTCTACCCCCAACATTGCGACATTCCTCCCTAGTCTAAGGCAGAAGTTCCCAGCTCTGCCGTAAAGTGAGGAAGAAAAGTTTGGGCGGGGCCGCCTGAGGCCAATAAGACGGGGCGTGTCCGCCTGAGGCAATTGAAATGGGGCGTGTCCGCGCAAGCGCACGTTGTACTCGCGGGCAGTGTCACGTGCGGGGGCGGGGCCGGGCAGGATCCCGCAGGCTGTAGGGGGCGTGGGAGGTAAGTGCGCGCGCGCCTGCTCGTCTGCAGCCTAGGAGTCGCGCGGGGCGGGGCCGCGTGCGCGGGGTCGGGGGCGCGCGGGCCGGAGCTGACTGGGACGCGGCGGCTGTTGGCTGTGCCTGCTGAGAGTCCAGCCAGGACGCTGAGACGCGGCTGCGAAGGCACCCTGTGGCACCAGCAGAGGCGGCGACACCGGTTGAGGCGGCGGTGCAACGCGTGCTGGGCGGGTGCGGCGGGGGATGTGTCTGCCCAGGCCGGGCGGAGTCTCTCTGACAGGGCGGGGGATGCGCGGCGGCCGCTCGCCCGGACCCTAAAGCAACTGGGCCCACCTTCCCGGAACCGTCCGACCCTCGGTGGTCTCGGCCTCTGCTGTCTCCTCCGGCCTGACCCTGGGGCCGAGGCTGGGAGGCGGCTTCCGCCGAAGAGGAGGGGGCTGCGGTGGCCACCGCGGCGGAGCCCGAGGTAAGACCCGCCCAAGCCGCCCAGCGGCCCTGCCGCCCGGCCCGGCCCACGTCTCAGTCTCTCTCTTTGGCTCCTGCGGGGCCACTCCGCCCCGCCCCAGCGGAGACGCCCCGCGAGCGGGTCTGCCCCGCAGCCTCCCAGACACCCGATCGCTGCCCAGGGTCCCCAGTAGACCCCACCCATGGTATCTTCCATTGGCCAGACACCCTCCTGGCCCTCCAACCTCTCCTGGGGTTCTATCATGCCCCCACCCTCCACGCCACTACACCCTATTGGAACCCCCTTCGGACTCTTAGACGCTTAATGGGGCCTCGAGCCTCTGTTACATCCTCCCGTGAGCTGACCGGATCACAGTTTCTCAGACCCACTTAGGGCTACCCCCTAACCCATTGCGACCCCCTGGTCTAGGGCAGATCCGTCGTGGTCACCCTTCTCAGTAGACCTCCTAACTCCCACCCCTGGCTCGTTTACCGCCCAGACGACTAGCCCTTCCCCTACCCAACTCGGCTTTCCCATAGTCTATTTCGTGATGCTCTTACCTCCCAAGAGATCCGGTATCAGCCCCTTGATAGCCACCGTCAACTGCCGCCTCTTCCCCCGACTCCTGCTGTAGCCTCTCCCACAGACCTCTTCTCCTTAGGCAGACCTTAGTATCTTTCTCCGCGCTCGTGATCCTTTCTTTGATTGGAAAGACTTTGCCGTGAAATCCTGAAGGGGTGTTACCCTAGTATATTCCCTAGGTGGGGATTAAAGGATCCGATTGATACCCAGGTTTGGAGGGTTTAGTCTGGTGGCTATAGAGAGTGAGAGGGAAGAGCATGGAAACCCAGGGCAGGGGGTGTGCGCTATTGTAAGATCACACAGCCTGCTTCTCATCTTGTCTCTTTTCTAGAATGTGTGAGGTAATCCAGATCCTGACAGTTTGGGGACTTTTGTAAGGATTAAATCACATATCACTAATGAATAAAACTGTGTCTCCATGTGTTGTTATTTGCTTTACATTCTCTTAAATTTTAATATATCTTTGGCACTTTTGGAAGGATACTAGGGTGTTTTTTAAAATTATTTTATTGTTTTTCAGTTTGCTGGAAAAGTAAGATTTGTAGTTTTCCTTAATCCCTGAAGGTTCTAATGCCAGTTCGATAATAAAATTCTGCTACTTGGTGCTGCTGTCTTGCTTTTCCAAGGAACAAGTACGGTTACCATGCAGTGTTCACCGATGTCATTACCAGCAGCCTTCTCAGCAGTAATAAAATATTGAATAAAATAGTTTATTGAACTCCTGAGCTGTCAAGAAGGAAATGTAATCTTACACCGAATGATCAGTGCATAATTTTAACGTTGGTAGAGGGATGAAGTATAGAGGGGTTTTTGTAGTCAGTACTTTAAATTTTTTTATTTTGTGTGTGTGGAACTGAGGAGGGAGAAAATCATATGAAAACTATAGGTCATAACTAGACATAGTATCAAAGTCAAAAGGTTCAAAAGATAATGCAGTAAAAAGTTTCTCTTCCCCATTTATTCGCCAGCCACCTATTTTCTCTCCTTAGACGCAACCATTATTTCCATCTTGGTGTGTGTCCTTCTTGTGATATTTCTAGCGTACAAGTCTATACATTTATATTTTTAAAACACTCCACAGACAAATGCTTGCATACTGTATATTATGGCTATAGCTCCCCCCTCTCCCTTTAATAATAGATCCTAGATATCATTCAACAATAGTACATTTGGAATTGCCTCATTTACTGGCTAGATAGTAGTCCATTCTGGTGATCTTGAGGTTATTTTCAGTCTTTGTTTTTACAGACAATGCTATGTGCTTTTCTCTTAAATATATCAGCTATTATATGTATGTTTTAAGTAATTTTCAGGATTCAAAAAATTTCCTGATGATTCTTTTATGAACCTACAAAAAAGGATATAGTTAAAGGAAATTTCTCGTTGAACCGCTCACTGGGCTTTCATGGAGTTACTAGCTTTGATAGAGTTTATAATGTTGTATCGGATTTTTTATAAAGTTTTGTTGGTCTTCCCTGGTGGCTCAGTGGTAAAAGAATCTGCCTGCAATGCAGGAGCCACAGAAGATGCAGGTTCAGTCCCTGGGTCAGGAAGATCTGGAGGAGGACATGGCAGCCCACTCCAGTCTTCTTGCCTGGGAGAATTCCATGGACAAAGGGGCCTGGCAGGCTGTAGTTCATAGAGTCTACTTAGCATACATGTACATAGATGTTTATGTTTATTTATAACTTACTTGATAGTTATTGAAGGATTTAAAGGAGGGGATTTTTAAAAGATCACTCAATCTACTTTGAAGATGGTGGATTGAAAGGCAGGCTAAAGGTGTTGGGGAGGTAAATGGTAATGGTGCAGCTTCTTCATTTGGGTTTTGAGAATAGATAGGATTTGGTGATTTCACTGGATTTGATATTAGACTGAGTGTTCATAGAGGATAAGATCTAGGTTTCTAGCTTATGCCTTTCACTGTGGTGGGGATCTGTATGAGGGAGGAGTGGAATTTTTGTTTTTACCAAGAAAGAGGAATTCAATTTGTGATATTTTGAGTTTGGGTGACTGGTGATTATTCTTCCAGCAGATGTAGATGGCCAGTAGGCAACTGGATTTGTGGCTTAAGCTCGTTATTAAGTTCTGGGTTGATAGTAGGTTTAGGTGAGAGGAGAAAAGATTGTAGGATAGAAATTCAGCATTTACAATACACACAGAATTGAATGTTTAAGCTACTAATAGTAAATTATGTGGTTCAGTTCTGTAAAGAATCTTGTTATAGTTTAAACATCAGTAGGTTCACTGTCTGACAAGACTTTTCAACATTGTTTTCCCTTGAGTGATATATAGTCCTGAGGGAAATGGAAGTAAACTTAGATTTTTAGAAAGGCAAAACCTCAGTAGATGTTAGCACTATAACCCCATTTTTTCTAAGTTTAGATTATAGTATTGTAAAAGTTGTTCAGTCTTCATTGTTTACAGAGAAGTATAGGAGCTTGGAAAATGTTGTTTGCCAAAAATATTAAAGTGTTTTAGTTTGTTATATTAATAATAGAGTTTAGTCAGATTTTTCAGTCGTGTTTTTAAACCATGTGATTAAATGCATGCTCAGTCACGTTCAACTCTTTTCGACCCTAGGACTGTAGACTGCCAGGCTCCTCTGTCTATGGAGTTTTCCAGGCAAGAATACTGAAGTGGGTTGCCATTTCCTCCTCCAGGGGATCTTCCCAACCTAGGGCTCGAACCTGTGTCCTTGTGTCTTCTGCATTGACAGGCAGCTTCTTTACCACTGTGACATAACATTGCCTTAATGTATTTATAAGTCTCGAGCTGCCTTGTAGAGCTCTTGCCTTTACTCTGGACCCCTGTAAATCACTGCTAATGGACATTTAGTCTTGGATTCACATTTCAACAAGCACTTCACATATGTACAAAATAAAACTCATCTCTGCCTCCCTTCCCTCCAAAAAGCTGTGGGGGTGGAAAGAGACAAAGGCAACAAAATCTTTTCTTTCGGTTTCCTGTCTTGATGAATGGTACCACTCTCTCTTCATGAAGCCTTCAGGAAGCTGGAAATCATCCTCCACTCCATTCTCTACCATACTACCAACATCACTAAATCAAGCACATTCTCCCTCATGATATTTCAAATCACTGTTACTGCTATTTTTGTTGTCTCTATTTTAACCCCAAATGTCTGTTGGTCTTGTCCTCTCATCTGCTTCTTGTTTTGCCATACCCTCTAGTTCATTTTCTGCACTGCTGCCAGAGTAAGTGTTCTAAACTGCTCTTTTAGTTAGGCTCTTTCATATGCAAGGAAGGGACTCAAGTTACCTTAAATAGAGGAGTGCTTCCTGAGAGAAAACATGCACAAGGGAACGCAGGAAAAGTTAAACAACTTGGTCTTAGAAAGAACGTGATCTTAAAAATAAAACTGGAAGCCGGAAAAGACATTTCACTCTGAGTGAGTGAGTGAAAGTCGCTCAATTGTGTCCATCTCTTTGTGACCCCATGGACTATACAGTCTATGGAATTCTCCAGGCCAGAATACTGGAGTGGGTGGCCTTTCCCTTCTCCAGGGGATCTTCCGAACCCAGGTATTTCACTCTGGTGCTCTACTGTTAACTTGTCTTAGCTACTTTTTCTGTTTCATTTTGTATTATTTTTTTCTCTGTACTCTAATCACCCTCCCCACCCCCCAGTCTCACAGATTTCATTTATTCTTAATTTTTGCCTTCTTATAACTGCTGCCACTCCCATGCCAATATCTTGCCTCCTGGCTACTGTCTCTTTAGCTTAAGCTGCTGTTGCTAACTTCTTCCTAGGGTTTTCTGGTTTGAATTCTCAAGAAACCATCTATGAATTGTTTAATCTTTAATCCTGGGCTGCTAGCAGGTCTGTGTACTGGGTCATGTGACCACTCCTAGCCATTTAGTGTTGACTGTGTTTATTTGTGCATGCGGATGTGAGGCAGGAGCATCACAGTGAAAAACATGGGGCAGTGTGCAGGGAAACTTCTCACAAAATGGGGTTGTAAACATGGAGGGGACCATGATTGACATGGTGCAAATAAACATCTAATGTCCTTTTCTGTTGAAAGATCTTCAGTGCTTTATTGAAGTTGCTCAGTCGTGTCCAACTCTTTGCAACCCCATGCACTGTAGCCTCCAGGCTCCTCCGTCCATGGAATTTTCCAGGCAAGAGTACTGGAGTGGGTTGCCATTTCCTTCTGCAGGGGATCTTCCGGGACCCAGGGATCGCACCCGGGAGTTCTGCATTGCAGGCAGACGCTTTACCCTCTGAGCCACCAGGGAAGCACTTTGAGGTTAAAGCTTAGCCTGTGGCATCACGTGTATGTGAGACCCTCTGTGCTCTCAGTCTTACTTCTTTAGGCTCTCCTCCTTCGCTGTCTTCCTTAAATGCTTTGATGCACTCACTGAACTCAGGTCTTCGCTCTGTTCCCTTTCCTGTATTTCCCTTCCGTCTTTCTTTGCTTGGCAATCCGCTGTCTGATCTGCAAGTCTCAGTTCAGGTGTGTCTTCAGGAAGCTTTCCTCCCTCCAGGTTAAGTTGGGTATTGCTCCTGTGTGCTCCTGGTATGTAATGCTTGCTTTCTCAGCTCTCTGATGAAATTCCTAATAGCTTCTCTGTTTTCTTCACTGGCCTGCAGCTTCTTTGGTATGGGTGCAA